TACCTATCCAGGCATCCGTTTTTTGTTTGTGTCATCTGTCCTTAAGTAAAATAACATTAAAGATCCTGGAAAAAAATGTATTCATTAAGTGCAGCACTTATCTTATTTGTATGAAGAATAATTATTTACATTAAAAAATGCTTTGTGGCACGTGTCATTTATTGAGCCCTCGAGATACACATGACATGCAGATCATTAATTAGCTTATTAGTAATCCATATTGACAACCTTACCATTTATTAAGTATTAAAACTCTTTGCAAACATTTTAAACTGATAGACTCTAACCGAAAATGAATTTCTTTTGAGATGCAAATATATACTATAATACAGTTTTCTTCCCAAATGAAAGTCACACCTGCGTACAGGTGGCATATAAGATGTGTAATTTACCTATAAAGATAGATTAATTTACCTGTCGGAGAAGAAGCACGTGTAAGAGGTAATTCCAGAACCATAAGATTAAATGCTACATATGTGCAGGTTAGCTCATACTTGCTTAGAAGAATATTTTAATTGTATTTGTCTTTAAGGCAAGATGAGGAGTTTCGATGTGTTCTCGTAACTTAAGCCCATATTTTATTTTTCAAAATAAAAAAAAAATCGTTGAAAAAATTCACATTAAAAAAAAGACCATCTTTATATTTTATATTAAAAACATATGACTAATGGAAAGAAATCCGCTAAATATTCTATTATAAAAAATGCATTATCCATGGATTCCTTACATTTAAAAATATCCACAAAAATTATTATTTAATGTACTTGGGAATGAAAAAAAAATAACTAAAACTATACTGTATGTGCTTATGTGTGAATACACATTATGTTAAAATGTAAATGCATTTCAAAGAAAAAATATATATATATATATATTACTCATTTATTGCTATTTACCTTTTCATAATTTATAGTATCTTTTTTTTTAATTATATGTCTTCAGCTATAAGATATATGCATTTTTTTCTTTATAGTATCCCAACCACATGGTTCATCGCATATGTCATCTAAATGTGAGTTCGAAAAAATTACAAACATCTGATTTTTGTAGAAAATTGTAGACAAAAGATTTTAAATTAATTTACACATCTAAAAGATATGAAAAATATAAATCGATTATATTCCTCGATCTTTTGTAGTTGAAGACGACGATTTATCAAAGGACATGCTATCCCGGAAGGAGGGGGTTCTGTCGCGCGAGCTGTGTGGCTTGGTAAGCCTAATTTTTTTGTGGTGGGGGTGGGGGTGGGATGGGTGGTTGGGGCGGGGTGCTTTTTCTTGGATTAAAAAGAAAGATAATAAGATAAATGGCTTCCTATAAATTCAACCAATGATTAGATTGGTAGTTTTAGTGAAGGAAGGATGATTAGAAATGATACTTGTTTCTTGCCCTCTGAAAGCAAGTTTGAAAAGAGATGTGTTTTTAATTAATCAATTTGCTATCAAAGACCTGCAATTTACAATTTGAAAAATAGTTGAATATAATTATCAATTGCCTAAAATATCGTTTACTTTAGATTTTATACATATTAGATATGATAAATAAGAGTCACCCATTCTCTATCCACCTTGAATAAACGTCTCTACCAAGAGATAAGATTTGGGCTTTGATGGTCGCCATGCTTATTTTTGAAAAGGAAATTCTTATCCACTCATTCTTTGCCAAGGTTTGACCATTTCTAAAAAATGAACTGTTCTTATAAAAATTAGTTACATGGAAAGAAATTAAAAAAAAAAACTCAGAAAATTGTGACAAAACGTCACAGAGGGGGTCACGTGACCACCTATATCACATAATTCGCGCATATTAAATGGCGTATCAGTCTTATAACACATAAATATCCCAAAGTTAGTGTGCAGTAAAGAGAGGATACTTTTGAAAAAAAATAAATAGATAAATAAAAATTTAAAAAAGAGCATTTGACTGACAAACAGCGTTTGGTTTTAATATTCAATTATATCTTTCAAATTTCAATTTGTTCAGGTTAAAATACTTAATATCGTGTCATATTACCTTAATTAACTACTGTATAATCACAAGTAGATTCGATCCCTAATTTTACTTAAGTATTTTGCTTTTACAGATGAAAAATTTATTCAAATTAGATGCAAATGAGAATCGTCCAGTGCAAGACTGTTCCGTGTCCCTTTCCATTCAGTTAGTATTTCCTTTTATTTGTTCTCAGAAAAGACATCACTACGTTATATAAATTGTCTGTAAATATGTAAAATAAAGACTTAAAAACATTTTATTAAATGTATATGTCTTTTTGGAACGAATTTTTATTGCTTATAAATTTGGAACTTTTTTTTTACAGAGATGGTCACATGAAAGTCAATTTTAAAGTCCCAGCGACAGAACAGCTCATGCAAGAGGAAATCGAAAAAATCAAGCAAAATGTTCTTAAAAATATCAAGGATATAGATATCGGTCTCGGTGTTGTGTCCAACACCGATGACGTCAGTATCTACAAGAAGGACGACAAAATGTCAACCACAGTGGAAATAATATTGACGACAACGAAGCCTCTTTCTGGTGTTACCGCCTCGACAACGTCACGTGATACCGTTACTAAATCTAAATCCCATATAGATACAGTAACTACTGCTGGTCCAAAATCAACAACGGAGGAACATAGGGCAGCAATCGAGACTCAGGAGCGTGTAGAATCTAAAGATAAAACAACGACATATTCTTTTGCTGAATTGATAACAACAACAGAAACTCAAATCCCCGATCACACAAGTATTGATGACGTAGCATTTTTATCTCATCTAAATAAGACTGTTAAAGATTTGATTCAAAACTTTGATTTAGAACTTGGAGTGACAAAAGACCCCATTGAAAATCAAAATCATCTAGTAAATGACTTCGAACACCTTAAGCATCACCTAAATGAAATCGCTCTTCGTAAGTCAGACCATGTAACTTCCACGGAAAAATCAGTTGTAGATAGCAAAAATATTTCTGCGAAAGGACATATTAACCATGATAGGTTTAATTTGACACTGGATAAAAATGATACATTTAATTTCAATGGGTTGCAGTTTCTTAAAGCAACTTCGAAAGCAGAAGGAGACACTATAATTAAAAATATGTCACTGGACAATGATGAAACAAACGGAAGCAGCTCAAATACTTTTAAACATGAAGCAAGAATTAATGTTACAGACATCACCAATGCAACAAAGTCAGTGGATTATCAAAATCCTATGTCTAGTGATCCACTTGATGACTCCTATTATGATATCAATTTTACTGATGGATCAGAATTGACAAAAACAAGATCTAACAGCAAAGAATTGGAAACACTCAATGTCACGAAACAGTATACCGCGACAGTTTCAAGCTTTATTTCAACGACAACAGCTAGCATTGATCCAAGCAAAGTCACTCAGCTATTTACAATGACAGATTTACACGCAGAACTCCTTTCATCAGCAGTAGCAACTTCAACTAAATCTTCACTGCATGATTTGAATCTGGATGCAAATTCAAAACTAGGAAAAAAAGATAATGATCAAAGTGGAGCAGTGGTAACAACAGTACCTGTAATGAGTAGTCCTGGATCAACGGAGTCAACTCCGAAAGCAACAACCATTGTTGACTCTACTTCAGTGGCAGCCACTAAAACGACGACTTCACTGCAAGATCTTTATCAGGACTTTCTGTGGAATTTTGGATCAAGATTATCAACAACCTCGAAGCCTGACACAACTACTCATGATCACACAGCTCACAGCTCTCCACATGCTGACAAACACCATTATGGAATGTATGGTCGAAGTCGTGCCCCTATGCATTTCACAAAGCAAACAATTGGACCAGAATTGACATTAACTGAAAAATCAACTTTTAATTTTGATGGCATGTCTTTAGATTTACCCACAGAAAATGAAACTGCGAAACAAGTGCTTAATAAGACAAGCAAGGAGAATAATATTACGAATTTACACATGCATGATGAATACGATCCCCATAATAATTCCAACTTTCCAAACTCTTTGCCTGCTTCTGCGGTGTCAGCAAATGAATTGTTTCAAGGGTTTGAAAAACTTAACTTTGAAGGATTATCGTATGATGATTACAAATCTCCAGAAAATAACTGGACTTTGAGCAATTCTGATGGTACTCCTACTATGATAAACAATATAGAACAAAAGCAAGTTAGTCAAATAAAAACAGATAAGGTTTTTGAACACTCTGACAAAACCAAACCCTTTTCTTTGATTAAACCTACTGCAAGCTTTTCAAAGATCTATGAAAATTCAAAATTTTCTTCCACTGTTTCATGGATAAGTTCTCAGGAACTTCTAGAAGGTTCTTCAGAAAGTCTGTTCAAGAGCCTTATAGGGACAAAAAGCTCTTCAAACACTATCTTGGAAGCAACTATAAATATATACTCGACAACCAGAGGATTGATTACATCATTTCCTTCTCCATCGTATTCGACGGATTACGAACAAACGTTTAGTTTTCATCCTCATCAAAAAAATTCACAAAGCTCACAAATTACAATATCCTCTTTAAAGACAGAAAACAACTCGTCACTTGATGTAATAACTTCAGTATCTGGATTAGAACTGCCACCTCACTCACCAAATAACCTGTCCACAATACAGTCGTCTATAATACAATCTTCTAAATTCGTTGGGGAAGATTCGTCAGTCAGTTTACATAGTTCAAACAAGGATTTTATTTTAGATGACTCTTTATTCCAACAACATTTATCATTTCCAGAGCAAAGACTTATCGACCACACTTTGCTGAAGTTACCTGTTATGTCAGTCCAACTTGCCCTCGACAGCTCATTATCGGCGAACCATTACAGATCCCTTCAGGCTAATGGATTTGAAGTAGTAACCCCTTTGACGAAGTCATCAAATGAACCTTTAGATTGGCATTCTTTATACAATAAAACGGAAAATACATTCATCTCAGAAAAATTGGATTCATTCTCAAAGACATCTCTTCAGCTTGACAAATCATCAATTAGTTCAACTCTCACTACATTACCACCTAATAAACCATCTGCTTCCCCTGAAGAAAGTCAAAATGATGACTTTCCAAACAAAAGTTTTTATTTTCCTGTATATCACGACATCATTAAGGATACTGCTTTGATTTCTCATAGTGTTCCATCACCAGAGATAGACCAAAACTTTTTTCTTGAAAACAGCCCTTCCAACATTCAGTTTTCCATTCTTCCAAGCATAACAAAGTTCTCAATACAAGATTCTTCAACATCTTTACCACTAGCATCACCCAAACTACCCTCATTCACAATGCATAGAAGAATATCGATACCAAAAATGTCAGCATTCCAAGAGAAATATAATACAAAACATAGTTTCTCCTCAAAGATATTGATACATCCAACTAAGACTTCTGGCTTAACAAGTCATGAAACGCACAAGTCATTATCTCTTAATACCATATCATTTCCGGTGGATATGGCAACTTTGACATTTCCAGATCAGAATTGGAATAGAGACCAGGGCCTGTATTCCAATCAACATGACAAGCACCTATACACTTCAACAAAAAATGACAGAGTTCCAATTTTATCATCTTTCTTGCAGGAAAGCTCCGCTGATTATTCATCTCGTTTCTCATTGTCACACATATCTTCATCCTTCTCAATATTAGCATTAGGCTCCTCAAGTATAAAACCATTTCGTAGCGGAGACGTTGGGGTATTTGCAACAAATATTCCTTGGGATGCTCTTGATATAAAACCAACCAAATCAACCTATTTATACAGTGTTTCATCGCATCATGAAATGGAAAATAATGAAGGAGGAACTAGTCCCGATAAATTATTTGTAAGAAAACATGAGAAAGAATCAAGTGTTCTCTATCCAAGTTCTTCGTTTCTGGAATTTTACACAGAAATCAATACCAAAACTTATCATAATACTCATTCGATATCTGTGTACACCGTAACCCACGAGCCTATCGTCTATCTTACCATTGATACAAGGCCACTGATGGAATCATCTTTATCCATACAGCCGACACCCAGGGTATCTTTCCAAGCAACTTTCTTCCGGGATCGTAAAAAGCTAGAGGATCTTCCTCATCAAGGTAAAAGAGGTATATTGAGAATAAAAAGTGTTTCCAACAACCCTGGAGAAACTACAACGGGAAGTCCTATTAATGTGGATAACACTTCAGCTAGACCGAAATTGTCAGCATCACAAGTCGCAGATCTTCGAAAAAATCTAGCCCGTATGAGAGCTGCTAGAATGCGGAATTTCCGAAGGAGACAAAATTTGCTTGCTCGTAGGCAGTCTGGAATTATGAATGATTTTCCACTAAGACGTCAAATTTCGGGAAGTAATACTGCAAATACCTTAGTGGGACGAGGTCTTGGTGTGGATGGTAATGGCAGAAGAAACCTACAACGACCTACAGCAGCACCTAGAGCTGTGAGGACAACTCAAAATCCACGGCAACGAATAGATAGAAATAGACTGTTCCCAGGATTTAACACAGGCAATCAATTTAATCAAAATTTTTTCAATAATATACGCTGGAACGGATAATAAGCGGATACATTTGTTTCCACTGTGTTTTGAATCATTGACGAACATTTGCTGAATACTGTGTGTTTACTTTATGCTCTTTTCATCATTAATAATCACTATTCATTTGAGATCTTTTTATTTATACTTAAGCATTTTTCATTTATATTTTGAAAGGTATGATGTGTCGGTGATATTTTGGTATCTGTCTCACTTTGTCTGACTTTAAACCATATCTTTTATTTAACCTCTTTTTTTGTTGATCTGTCTTAAAATAAAGAAATCCAAATATCATATTGCTAGTTTTTCTCACACCAGCAAGAAAGTGATATGAGTTTTCGCATTTATTCTATTGACAAGTTAAAATTTTAACTTTATCATCATTAGATGGTGTAACAGAGATAAATTAGTACTGATAATTTTGGTACACTTCTCCACAACATAAAATATGTACTGCTGAACATGCGTCTCAGTCATGTAGATTGTGACTCTCGACTCCCTCAGGTTAGTTTCAAAAGGGTATTTTGGATATTGGTCGTTTTGCATGTGACGTTTTGTTCTATAGAGTCCACACTAGGGAGTTGATCCCTTCATCATGGTTTCAGATCCCACTGGGCGATACGTAGACCGGTCTTTCGTATAAATCCAGGTCAAATGTCACAGTAGATGCTGACACAAAAAGCCCAAAGTGCCTAGCTAAGGGAAATTTTGCAGCCTACCATCGGCAAGTGGTTGCATCTTGATATGTTTTTTTTTTACAATTCTGGTAAAAGATGTTAAGCAATCAAACAACGAAACAATTTTTATAGGGATGTTATTATTTAAAAGTTGTAATATTGTCAAGGAAAACTTACAATGTGTCAGTATTTAGCATTTTTCCACTTGCGTAGCCACTTGTATAAATTATATAGTTTAAGTAGTTTAACTACATTTTTCCAAGTTAAGGTAGTCCGATCCTCAGGTTTATAAAATTAGCAATTAAGTAATCAAAAATACTTATAAAAGTATGTCTGAATCCACAAAGTTGTGTAAATTTATCCACAGTATTTCTGTAAAGTTTCAGATTAAAGTTAATTATATTATATAGGGAACATTGTCAAATTTCCAATTTTTTTTGCAGAAAAAGGGAATTGGAATATCAGCAATGCGTTTTCTAATTGCAAACCGATCATCAAATATATTTTAGGTTAAAAAACGATACATATCCAGGCATTCAAAGAAACTGTCATGATTTTTATACTTATTCGGTATTTTTGTCTTCGATTTCCGTCATTTTCTCTATAATACATAGTATAATAGGCTTTTGCTATCATTGCAAGACATCACAAATCAGTTTTAATTTCATATCATGCTAATAAGGATTGGTATCTAAGGCTGGATTCAAGAAAATCTTATTTCTCCAAAACTATATTATTTTTTTCCCTTTTATGGGGTACAAATGTCAACTTTTATAAGACCTTTTCTAAGACTTCCAAAAACCCTGAATCTTCTAAAGGTGAATAAAATGAAAATTGTTGCATGAAAAAAATCAATTTCAAGCTTCATTTTGATGCATTTCAAATTAAATATTAATTTTTGGAGTTATCCTTCCTAGCTGAGGATCGGATATCCTTAAGATCAAAATAAATAATTTTTTTTTCTAATTAAGATTTCTCAATTTACATCAAACTTAAGTGAGAAAATAATGACTTAACAATTAGTATGAAAAACTTTAGTGAGCATTCAGCTTTATAACAGGTTATGTTTGCTGTCAAGGTCATTGTCTCAACCAAAGAACTTCGAAAATGAAGATTGTAAAGAGAACGAGACTATTGCTATCATTTTCATAAACTTATTTGTCAATAACAATATGTCAAAAATGATATTTTAATTTTTTTTCCTAATATTTTTAAACTTTAGAGTCGGATTCTATCCAATGATACCTCCATTATCATCAAGTCTGAAATTAGAAAAAGAATAAAATTAATTTTTACTGCGATGTGTGTTTCTTATATCTTTTCAAGCACTTAAGTCAAAACAAACTACATGTAATTGTAATCTAAAAAAAATTCTTTCATTAATTGCAAAAGTACTTCGCCAGTATTTTATATACTTACTCCTTTTCGCAAATAAAGTTGTACTTCCGGTCACATGGCACATCGTTCCAGTGGAAAGAAATAGCGTCATACATATGGGCACAGTCTTCATGGTGACCCCCATTATTGGGTTCCCCCGGCCCCCAGCCAGTATAATCTGGGCTTGTCTGGGTGCTCTCCCAGACCCAGTGTCCCTCCACTAAAGCATCAGTCAGACCAATCCAAAACTGACCTAAAGTACAGTTGTCAAAATAAAATTTTTAATAAAGTTTTAATAAAGTGAACACAACTCAGATCCAAGAAGCAGAAAACTAATGGTATATATTGTGTTACATGTGTACAATAAACATAATAAGATGATCACACAAAAATGGTTGCTGTATTTAACAATTATTTTGAAAGATTTTCTGCGATGCAACTACAAGTATATCTAACCTTTTTCAGTGTAAATAGGTTATTCATCACCAAATATAACAAATTTTAAATATTTTGCAAACTTTGATAATTTTATTTACTTAATTAAACGTCAATATCAAAATATTTCTAATTTACATATTAATGATTTTTTTTTTTCTATCTTACCCTTGTATCCATGGTCCATTAAGTAAATACGAAGAAATTCATCTTCGACTTCCGTCTCTATTTCCACAAGCTTGGCCTGAAGTGCATTGCAGTATAACTGTGGAAAAATACATAATTTATCAATTGCAAGAAATAGACCTGAACAAATTGTAGGAAGAAATGGGCGTTAGCTAATGAATGACGACCACAACGAGGAATGTAGCAGCGAAAGGGGAAGAAGATGTTTGGCAAAGGCCAGAGAAAGCTGAGTGAGAATGTGGTGATAGAGTGGGTGAGGGTATCCCCCGTTTATTATTTTAAAATGATTCGATACGCAAGAGCATACTCTTCGTTGAACAATTTTTAAAACGAGGAAAATTATTGAAAAACATCTTGATGAAACAAGAATATCGACAGTCTCGTTTAAAATCATCATTTCGTAAGTTCTTTGGTCAATACAATGACCTTGTCAGCAAATACAATTTAGCATTGAATCCAATGCTGACTTAGGTTTTTCATACTAATTGTTAGTCCATTATTTATACACTGAGTTGACGACGGATTTTTTGTTATTTCCATATCATGACAAGGAGCCCACGGCAGATGTGACCGGTCGGCAGGGGATGCTCACTCCTCCACTCCATGGCATCGGATCCCACCTCTGATGTTTTAGAGATCCGGTCCGTGTTTGCGCTACTGCTATTTTGATATTGAATTCTATTTGTCATCTATATTTTCTTCATTAGACCAGAATATGAAGTTTTCTTTTCATTCTTTTACCAACAAAAAACTGAATACGTTAAAAATATAAATATAAGCTGGAATTTGATAAAGTGTACAATGTACTTGTAAGTTATTTTAAAAAATAAATCCGTTCATAAAACAAGATATAGAGTGAATTTGAGATGGTAAGCTTGATTGTAGGGTATCTGTATATCTTTATTTGGGGTGGTGCATGTTATTCAGGCACATAGCATCGTTTTTAAAAGTGGGGGGGGGGGTAGCTAGAAAATCTTTTTTACTCACCTGGAAAAGTTACGACCAAAATAAAAATAAACATTGCCTAAATGGGGACAACCTGTGCTTCAATGAACATTTTCAATAGTAGAAGTAATGTTGAAAAAAAGTGGGGGGACAGCCCCCTCCCCCCCCCCCTGCTGCTACGTGCCTGGTTATGATTAAAAGAACGAACCATTGCTTCAGTCCATCCGTCTGGGACATCGACGAAGAAAGCATAACACGATAAACCACGCTGTTTCCATCCAAATGGACACTGGCTAGGTTGGGCGCTGACGCTATATGATACTTGAAAAATTGTACGATAAATTATATATTTTAACTAAAAGAAAGAAACCACGAAAAAAGATAATAAAAAGAAGCAATAACAAAAAGAAGCAATGAAAAATTACAGCATCAAAATAAAACATAAGAAATTGATGTAAATTGTTAAAAATATATTTATTTAAATATATTAGAGAATGTTTAAGTATAATAGTGATTATGAATCTTACTGGCAATTGTTGTTAAGAATGTTGCAATTAATATATCCATTTGTAAGATAAGAGTAAAATTCCTGTTAGTGAAGGTAATCCTATACATTTATCTCCAGTTATAGACGTGGCCTTACCTGAACATTTCTATAATACAGAACATTATTTGGTTACAGGTTTGATAGGTTACAATGGTATATTGATACTTGGCTATTTGAGATGTGAATTCGTAACATTCATCACAATGTTTGTTGCCCAGTTACCATTTAATATGTTTAGTTTAAAAACAAAAACAAAGATTGATTGATTGATTTTATATTGTTTAACGCCAAGTCGGCAATATTTCAGCCATATTTTGGCGGGCAAGTATTAACCGGTTTTTGAAAGCTTTTGGTTTCTCTGGCGGCCCCCAATGAGCCTACTCTTTATCGAACTCCAGAGAAACGATCTTTTGCGTGCCAAGGGGGTTGTTATCCTTGACACGGGGCACCATTTAAAGTCCCATCCGACGGACTGGTAAAAACAAACAAAAACAAAGAAGAACTAATGTATAGAACAGTGGTATTTTCCTTTGAGGAACATCAAGTAGGACTAAAACAGAATACAGATCAGAAGTTTTTTTTTTTACGTGTTAATTTAATATTCACAGCAAGATCTTTTATAAAAGTGTTTGAATAAATTCTGCTGTGAATAAATGCAAACATAGAACTTTTGATATGTAGCACAATTATAACCCATAGGAATAAAACAAAATGTGACAACATGATCTCAAAAAACTTCATAGATATTGTCAATGTGAAAACCGGTCATCTTTTGATTATCAACTTCGGGGTACTTTTGTGTACAGCACATTCAGAATTTTTTAAGCAAAATAATTTTGAACAAGACCAAACAAAAATGCATTGAGATAACAAACAACATTTGAGCTCAAATGTTCATTTAAATACTGTATACAGGGTTATTTTCGCCTCGCTTTATTTTCGCCCTTTCATACTTGCAAACAATTTTGCTCCGTTTTAAATATGCCTAGTCACAGTTTTCTTTAAGAAATTATACTGTATTCTTTGAATTCGCCCCTTTTTAATTTCGCCCAATCGAGGTCAGGGCGAAAGGGACGAAGATAAAACAGAGGCGAATATTTCCATGTATAATAATATTTATAAAGAGCAGAGCAAAACGGTCGTCTAAAGCATCAGAGGTAGGACCAGGTGCCATGGAGAAGTGAACATCCCCTGCCCACCGGTCACATTCAGCGTGTACTTCTTGTCGTGATGGGAAACTAACGGGAAAATATAAAACATAAACTTGCATTGATAATAGTTGTTTTAATATGTTTCTGACAGTATATACACTGTGAATGAGGCAAAAATATTTATGTGCGTTATATTTCTATATTCTTTATTTCAACCGACAAATATTGGCCATCGTGACTAGCAATCATCCAATGACATTAATCTCGTCCAAGCTGAAATGGAACAGTGTCGAATATAAGTAAGTACATATATTTTTCACTCATTTAATTGAAAGTACTAGTAGATGTGATCAAATTGATTTTTTAGATATCGAGATTATAAAACTCACTCTTTTTCACATATGAAACTATGAGTTGTATTACAAGGAAAATCATTCCAGAGCCCAGAATAATACATGCCACCACAGTCTTCATGGTTAAACACATCATTCGGTTCTCCTGGGTACCAGTGCGTGTAGGCGGGGGTTGTTTGTGACGTCTCCCAGACCCAGTGTCCCTCCACCAAGGCATCAGTCAAACCAATCCAGAAGTTTGCTGGAAAAAAATTGAACATATGCGTTATTTTTTTGTTTAATGCACAGGCCTTTAGATCGCTTAAAAAAATTGAGGTATTGAAAAGAAAATAAACGTATGGAGCTCTTTTCAAAGGGTACCTTCTTTTGCTATTAAAATTCTTTTAAATCAAATGCTTTACAATTTTACTTTTTATCCATTCCTATATATATTCAAATATAAACAATCTTCATTACTACCAAAGTTCATTCCGTAATTCCTTATACTTCTCGAGATATTCTGAAATCAATTCCGAAATTGACCTTAATTTTTTCTAGCTTGGACCTTCACTAATTGTAAAGCGGGAACGACGGGGCAAATTTTCCCCGGAATTTATTCTAAACTCAATAGATATTTTTTCATTTGCATTTAAGTTTTATAAGGTTTTTCTTTAATTTGATCAAATGATCTTACTAAGTCACATACAACGTTTTAGCGGTCTAATTTGTTTTTGAAAATCGAAAGGTATATAATGCATTCCGGAAAAAATTCGTTCTACCATGGCTTCATTTACATTCATAATCAACATGGCGGTGCAGTTGTTGATACAGACGTTTTCAAATTAATTTTTCGCGAAAGGAATTATTACTACAGTAAGCATTTAATTTCAAACATTGTATTCTTTAGATATCAATATTCAATCAAATATGATGAAATGAATATACTTTTTAATCCATGATCACGAAGAAATTCATTTTCCACTTCCGTCTCTATTTCTACCAATTTGGCATGAAGTGCGTTGCAGTATAGCTGAAAGAATCAAGATAGGAAGGAACATAAAATTTAAACCAGTAATCTTCTCGGTAAAATAGTCCAGAGACAAAATTTTCACTTTTGGTATTTGATTTTGTTCAAAATACCTCTCCTAAAAACAGAAAATTAAATGAACTGAAAACAGCTTTGTATTTATGGAAAATTATGAATATAGGCTACCGGTAATACTAATTGGCAGAGCTCTAGTTGTAAAAAATCATAGTTTAAAAACAGTGTATACTGGGCACATGTGCTTTCAGTCCCATACTTAAACACAAACAATTAACATATTTGAATGTTTACTTCGAATACTGAAAACCAAAATTTGAAAGTTCGTATTCTGCGAAAAAAATCAATATGCTTGGATTAAAAGGTTCTAATTCTGAGGCACAACTGACATCTTTAAACTTAATTGGATAATAAGAATATATCATCCTAACACAAGATTGAGAGGTATTATTCAATCTTACATGTATCTTATCTTAATGATATAATAGAATATAATAAGAATTTTATGATTACCATTTCGATATCATCTCCACTTTAACAGAATATAATTTCTATTCAATAAATAAAATACGGTATTTAGTAGTTGAAAATGTAATAGAATGCTTAAATCAAAATCATAATCCCTTTTATAATAGAAATATATATTATATATCTTTACATAAAATAAAAAATAAACAACGGATAATACAACACACCAGTATTTCTAACAATCATGATTATTTGTCTTAACGTTTACTTGTAGAATTCCTAATAGATTTTCTAGTTCCCCAAAACCACTTAATCTGACAAATTTCACGCAATTAAATTCCGAATTTGAATCTACCTTAGATAAAACCTTACCATTGCTTCTGTCCAGCTAAGTTGTAATTCTGTAAAAAAGGCGTAGCACGATGTCTCTCGTTGTTTCCAGCCATATGGGCATTGATGGGGCTGAGCGTTAGTCACTAACACGTATACTATAAATAGAATTTCAAATGAAAAATTTATACACATATGTTAAATGAGAAGGAACTTCTTTTAATGACGCTTTTTAACTTAGCGTTTTCAAATGAGGTTTCCAAATCATAATCGTACGGTAAACCAGACGACATGTTTCGTTTTAAACTGTCACTTTCAATGTGAACTACTAAAACAAGTCATTAATACGGGTATTGGAGTTTTTTGTCAAATAGACTAAAGAAGCGTATCCAGATTGCCTACAGTCTCTCAAAAAGATAATTCTTAAGGTGTTCACCTCGTCTTTTAAAAATTAAATTAAATTGAAACTAGGTATCTGGATAAACTCTCACATGATTTCAAATTGAACTCCAACAAAATAATTAACGTTACAGAAATTACTTTATGAGCTGTAAAGTACAGGAATACGGAAATTGAAATTCATTATATTATATATATATTATATACATTCAATATATTATATTTACATTCAGTGTAATTTTCCTTATCAAATCTATTAGAAATCCACGACGTTCAAATTTCTATAACACACGCGAAACCTTGTCACCGCGCGTTAGAATATACAGTGGGAACTATATGCAATTTCAAGACTTTAGAAACACCAAAATGTAAAATGTTTTATTTCAATTTAATGAAAAACTAAACCCTGAAAAATTAACTTAGAAATTAACGTAATGTGCGTTAAACATTAATTTGTCATTTTTTTAATCGCATTGTTTGTTTGCGTAAATTAACTTTGCAACGTCACTTAACGTCATCTGACGTCACAAACGGCTCTTACATCTATTAACCATGATAGTTTTGAAGGGCGCTAAATTCACATTAAATGTTAACAAAATAAGCAATTATGAAGAAGGAAAATTAGAGAATGTAAATATAAGCATTGAATTCATATTTTTTGGCTGTCTTCGGTCCTATAACACACCTGGCCGTGCCGACAAATTTATCATACCGCGCTAACGCGCGGTATTCAATTTGTCGGCACGGCCAGGTGTGTTATAGGACCGAAGACAGCCAAAAATATGAATTCAATGCTTAAATGACGCCACAGTTGATCTTTCACCAAAATGTTAGCCTAAAGTCATTTACTAGATTTTGACCTTAAGGTCTTTGTAGAAAATGAAACATGGCGTGCAATTTAAAATCAAAGTTACTTCGCTACTTATGTCATGTTAACATTATTTAAAAAAAGAGGTCAATAAGATAAATAAAAAAACGTTTACTGAGGGACTTAGGTATACTAATACATCTCCTTCGTCAGAAATTGATAAAACCGCCATCTTCTTAAATTAAAAATGGCAGTTTGAGATACATATGTTTTTTCATTGAGTTTACCTTAAAATTAAATCCCGATACATCTTATTTTACCAAGCTATATTTGGAAGGGATCAATAGAAAAAAAAAATGTGTTACTCAATTTTAGAAATTTATTTGTACTTTTCATTTACTAGATCTTGACAATTAAAAACCCATTTAAAGGCGGCATTAGTTAATTCATTGTTCTCTATTAGGCCCGGTAAGTAACTGAAAGATATCTTCCCGACATATCATTTTTATTATACGTAGGTCTCACAGCGGATCCAGGCAACACCGATACTTAGTCATCCTCGGCAGCTGCAATCGGCAATCCTCGGCTGACTCCGCTACGCTCCATTCAAACCTCGGATGTGATTAGTGGAGGAATACGCATCAGATCCTTACATTTCTCTGCCGGAAACTGCCTTATCACTCATTTCATATTTCGCTCTGCATAACGTTCTTTGAAAATGTTTCCTAATTAGTGGAATTATTTATCGTAAACAGGTTTTGATCACAAACTTATGTAAGTAGGCTTTGAAAGCAAGAAAAAAATGTTGAGTGTGCCACAAAATAACGCCGATTTCAAATGTATGACATTTGATAGATATTCAAATAAGATCACATGACTGAATCAGCAAGATGGTAACTCACCGTTGACGTCCGAGGTTATGTGCGAGGTACGAGTCATCCGAGGAACTCCGAGTGCGGCAGCTGGGCTTACAGGGTCCGTGTATAACGCCTTCTTCACATATATGTACTTGTTTTATGTACATATCGATCATTGTTCCTTAGCTTTTTTATATATACATACATCTCCACATCGTTTTGTTTTTGTTAAAACGGTTGATTTGATTGCTTTAATATGATTAATTTAATAGAGAGAAATCATTATATCCAGATTAATTGAGTGAATTAAAACAAATTAAGCAAAACTACCTTACAGGCAATTATTGCATACAAATTCGTAGCCTTATCCATTGTCCTAAAAATATTGTCTGATAAGAATTCTTAAGTCCCGTGAGGTTAAAGGACAAAATTACACATGAGATTTGTATGAAATATATGGAGATAACAGAGTTCAAGCTTACATGTCCTTAAAACAATATAAATTTCGGAGTGTTGCAAACACGGACCTATAAAACATCAAAAATGGGATAAAGTATTACAGGACTTGACTTGTGTTCCTTGTCATGATCGGGAAATAACAGAAAAAATTAATCGATAATTAATGTGTAAAATATGGTATAACAATAGGCTGATTAATAGACGTTCTACGAACATAACATATTAATGATGAAACTGATAAATAAATCTATTCAAACTTTTTTCCTAATCATTGGACACATCACATTGGCGTCGGAAGAAAACTAAAAGTTGGGGGGGGGGGGGGGGCTAGGTGTAAGAATTTTTTTAGACCTCCAAATAATCCTGAAAAGCAAAAAAAAAAAAAAAAAGAAATGTCCATCGTCCAAACTCGAAAATCCTATTTCGTTTTGGAGGTGGTGGTATAGGTTCGAACTTCAGTACCAATTTTTTTTCAAAACAGTACCACATTCCGAATTTTACAATACACTCAAAAAAGGTTTAAATGGCAAGTTCTTAAACAATTTGGGAACTAGAAATACTTAAGTGATACTTTCCTTTAATTGATGGCCCCATGGGGATCTGGATTAGAATAGGTCCTCAATACTCCCTTGCTTGTCGTAAAAGGCGACTAAATGGGGCGGTCCTTCGGATGAGACCGTATAAACCGAGGCCCCGTGTCACAGCAGGTATGGCACGATAAAGATAGCTCGTTGCTCAATGGCCCTGAGTGCCGAGCATAGGCCTAAATTTGCAGCCCTTCACCGGCAATAGTGATGTCTCCATATCAGTGAAATATTCTGGAGAGGGACGTTAAACAGTATATAATCAATCAATCAATCCTTTAATTGATGCAAAATAAATGGTCTTGTTGGGGATGTTCCTAATTTGTATGGTTTGAATGAACCTCTCTCCATATGTCTCAATGTTAATAGTCTATATACTTTATATATTTTTAAAATAAATGATGATCTTGATGATAAGCACCGATCAGATCCAGAGTGAATTTTGTAAATCCGATCCTTCTACATTTTTGTGTTAAATTTGACAATCTTGCCTAAGGCATTTTTAGGACATGTCAAATAGACACTGTAATTTAGCGTTAAGAATTGTCAGAGTAATGTGGTTATACCTAGTTTATATCAATGATCCATTAAGTATATACGAAGAGATTCATCTTCCATTTGTGTGTCTATTATAATATAATTTCTTATGCGTGATAACACTTGCTGTGGCCTTCAACTAGACATTTAGATATATCGACATAGTGTCAATTAACGACGTATTGTCAATTAACAACTAATGTTAATTCCCATTCCTAGGTGGATAAGATATATCCTGGTGAGCCTGAAATAAAAGATATCACAGAGTCTAACACATCAATTTCATATTTGGATACATGGTATTTCACTTGAATAAAACGTAAATGGTATTTCAACAATCACACTCTATGAAAAACGTGATGATATAACTTTTCTATCGTCAACTTCCCTTGCTTATGCAGCAATATACCTTCATCGCCTGCATACGGTGTTTATATACCTCAGTTGATTTGATACGAAAGAGCCTGCTCTTAGTATGAACAATTGCTAAAACAAGGTTAATTATCGACAAACAAGTTGATGAAACAAGAATACTATCAGCCTCGTTTAAAGTTATAATTTCTTAAGTTCTATGGTCGATTCAAAGACCTCGTCAGCAAATGCAATTTATCATCGAGTCAAATGCTGGCTGACGTTTTACATGTATACTATTTGTTAGTCCATTAATTATACACCGAATTGCTGACTTTTCTTTTATTTCCTGGTCAGGACAAGGAACACACGGCGGGTGTGACCGGTTGACAGGGGGTTCTCACTCCTCCATGGCACCTAATCCAACCTCTGATGTTTTGGAGGTATGTGTTTGCTTTGCTCCTAATTTATATTTTGTTATGGACTCTGATGTTGAGTACGGTTCGTTATCTCCATATCCTTCATTATACTGCCAGCCAGGACATTCAGGGGGATTCATGCTTTAGATGAAAAGTTCCCATGTTTAAATTCCAATCAACAAAGAGATAGAACATTAGTAACAATAGTTCCTATTAGCTACACATGTATTAAGTTTTATTTCAAATATTGATATCTAAACACACACAAAAACAAATATCTATTCTTCCTTCATAAGTGAAGAACATAAGGCTAGAGTTACCTACAAATGCGTCTGTCCAATCGAGATTCATCTCGATTATAGAGAACCAAGTAGAAGTTGGAACTCTTCAATTAAAAATAATTACATGTATAAAGTTTTGTATTCATGCTAGTATCGTGACGCCGTTTAAACATGCAAATTTTGTTTAAAAACAATAAAAGTCGGGTGGTATAAATACTGACCAGGAATTACTATATACATATACGTATACAGTGAACCCTCAGATATCCGGACGCCAGATATCCGGATGCTTCAGTATCCGAACAATTTTTCATCGGAACGAAATTTTTAAATGTTATTTTGTCTTGTTAAACTGGTGATTCAGATATCCGGATGCTTCACATATCCGGACAAAATGACTGGGAACCAAGTGTCTGGGTAAATGAGGGTCCACTGTATATGGGAATTATTCTTTAAACTGATTAATACTAAAGTGAATAGATTTGTTTGGAATCGGTTAGTTACCTACAGAAAAGTGATTGTCAATGCTAAACGTATATAGGTAATTTTGATTTTTGTATTGATCATGCATCACAATTCTTCGCAATCTTCAAAAAAATGAACCGCTCATAATAATAAAATACGAAACTATTTCGGCAAGTTTGCCCCTAAATCAGTGGTTACATGTAGATGCATAATAAAAAAAAAAAAAGTACGTAATATCAATGAAGGATATGAAGATACCGAACAGTATTCGATATCAAAGTCCGTAAAACAGTACTAAATAGGAGTAGAGCAAAAACGGACCTCCGAAACATCAGAGGAGGGATCAGGTGCTATGGAGGAGTGAGTATCCCCTGCCGACCGGTCACACCCGCCATGTTATCCTTGTCATGATCGGGAAATAACGGAAAAATCCGTCGCCGATTCGATATAAAATAATTGACGAACACTTTGTATGAAAAACGTCAATCAGCTTTTTTCAATGATAACTTGTATTTGCTACAACAGTCATTGTATCGACCATAGAACTTATGAAAATAAGACTTTAAACGAGATAATAGTTGTTTAAAAATGCCCTACGGTACATGCAAAGTGAATGACACAATACTAGTAATATTAATGTGTTTTGATTGTGTATATTCCTTATTTGAACCAACAAATATTGGCAACTGTAATTAGCAATCATCCAATGACATCGATCTCGTCCAAACTGAAATTGAATGGTGTCAAATATAAGTAAGTACCGTTATTGAAGGTAACTGTAATAAAATTGAATCATTTTTTTAATATGGGTTTTAGATATTGAAATTATTAAACTCACTTTTTTTCACATATGAAACTAAGGGTGGTATTACAAGGAAAATCATTCCAGTGCCCAGAATAATACATGCCACCACAGTCTTCACGGTGTCCCATATCATTCGGTTCCCCTGGGTACCAGTCCGTGTAGGCGGGGGTTGTTTGTGACGTCTCCCAGACCCAGTGTCCCTCCACCAAGACATCAGTCAGACCAATCCAGAAGTTCGCTGTCATATGTTAGGAAAAATTAAAATAGGCGTTATTTGTTTGTTTTAAGAAATTTTCATTCACATCACCTGGAAGCCAAGAGTTGCTGTTGGAGGATTGAGATTTCAGACCTACACTCAGCACTTACTGCAACTTGACAGAAATTAATCAAAATGTGTAATTTAAACAAACACTCCAGTCAGCAATTTTCAAAAATTGTATTCTTTAGATATCAATATTCAATAAAATATGATGAATATACATTTTAATCCATGATCCATCTCGTAAATACGAAGAAATTCATCTTCCACTTCTGTCTCTATTTCTACCAATTTGGCATGAAGGGCGTTGCAGTATAGCTGAAAGAATTAAAAAAAGGAAGATTAAAAATTTTAAACCAGTAATCTTCTCGGTAAAATAGTCCAGAGATAAAATTTTCACTTTTTGGTATTTGGTTTTGTTCAAGCCGACAACAAAATAACTTTTCTAAATACACACAATTAGATGAACTGAAAACATCTTTATATATATATATGGAAAATTATGAATATAAAATAATTGGCAGAACTCTAGTTGTAAACAATCTAGTAGTTTAAAAACAGTGTATATTGGGCACATGTGCCTTCAGCCCAGTACCTGCACACAAACAATTAATATATTTGAATGTTTACTTCGAATAATGAAAACCAAAATTTGAAAGTTCGTATCCTGCGAAAAAAATCAATATGGTTGGATTAAAAGGTCTTTATTCTTAGGCACAACTGACATCTTTAAACTTTATTGGATAATAAGAATAATTATGTCATCCAAAAAGATTGAGAGATATTATTGAAACTTTCAGGTATCTTACCTTCATGATATAATAGAATAGAATAAGGATTTTATGATTACCATTTCAATATTATCTCCACTTAAACAGAATATAATTTCTATTCAATAAGTAAGATACGGTATTTAGTACTTGAAAATGTAATAGAATGCTTAAATCAAAATCATAATCCCTTTTATACATTTCTTTAATTAAAATACAATAATAATAAAAATAAACCAACGGATAATACAACACACCAGTTTTTCTAATAATCATGATTATTTGTCTTAACTTTTATTTGTAAAATTGGATTATAGATTTTCTAGTTCCCCAAAACCACTTAATCTGACAAATTTCACGCAATTAAATTCCGAATTTGAATCTACCTTAGATAGAACCTTACCATTGCTTCTGTCCAGTTAAGTTGTAATTCTGTAAAAAACGCGTAACATGATGTCCCTCGTTGTTTCCAGCCATATGGGCATTGATGGGGCTGAGCGTTAGTCACCAACAAGTGTACTATAAATAGAATTTAAAATGAAAAATTCATACAAATTCTTTCATAATTTTTTTATAACTAAGCGTTTACAAATGAGGTTTCCAGATCATAATCGTAGGGACGTAGCAACGGGGGAATGGGGGGGGGGGAGGCAGGCTCCCCCCACTTTTCCCCCATATAACCTTTACTATAGTAAATGTTCATTGAAAGGATGGTTGACCCCCCCTTCTTTTAACCATAGTATATCCCCCCCACTTTAACCCATAGTATAGTGATATGAAGGAATTGTAGGAAAAATATGGAAGTGAAAGTAACTTGGCATTGAAAATGTTGGCCACTAATGTTTAGACTAATTTTGTGGTGCTAGATTCATTATGACGTCAGAATCACGTTAAACTTTCTTTTTCCCGCACTTTACAACTTAGGCAGAATTATGTAGAAAATATGGTATTTTCAGGGCATTGAATTTGAAATCAAATGAAAAGTAATCCCGATACCTATTATATCAAATTTGACATTATTTTTAAGAAGAGGTCATGAACATACAAATTACCATTTTGTGAGAGATTGTAGGAAATATAGATACATTTCTTGTGTTGAATATGAAAAAAACCTCCCATATTGATAACTGGTTTTCTTAATTGTTCATTAAAAATGACAGTTTAAAATATGTTTTTTTTTTATTTTGTTTATCTATAAATTATTTCCCGAAACACCTTATTTGTCCAAGCATAAGTTATAAAGCATCATTAAAAGAGATTTAAAATTTTCCCTATATGATATGATTAACTTTAATCTTTAACTTTAAAGAAATACTTGGGATAAATTTACTAAATTTTCTGGATTAAAGGATACTTTTATGGTTATCTTTGATTACTTAAAACTGCTAATTTTATAAACCTGAGGATCGGACTACCTTAAATTGAAAATGGCAATTTGAGATGTTTACCTTAAAATTAAATCCCGATACATCTTACTTTACCGAGCTATATTTGTAAGAGATCAATAAAATAAAATGTTACTGAATTTTAGAAATTTATTTCTACCTTTCATTTACTAGATCTTGACAATGAAAACACCGCTTAAAGTCGGCATTTGTTAATTCCTTTTAACGTCCTGTTAGTAAATATACATGTACTCTATCATTGGGTCGCATTTTGCCCGACTTATTTAATGCGAATTGTAAGACGTTTATTTTAAAAATGAATTTGACTACTGAAAGTTATCTTCCCGTCATATCAAATTTATTATATGTAGGTCTCACAGCAGGTGCGACCAGTCAACAGGGGAAACTCATCCTCGGCAGCTGGGCTTACAGGGGTCCGTGTATTATAACCTCTTCGTATACTTGTGTTATGTATAGATCGATCATCGCTATCTTTATTATATACATTTCCATATCGTTTTTTGTTAAAACATTTGATTTGATTGCTTATATGATTAGTTTAATAAAGAGAAATTATTATATCTATAGATTAATTTAGAAAATCAAAACAAATTAAACAAAACTACCTTACAGGCAATTACTGCGTACAATTTTATGGCTTTGTCCATTGTCCTAAAAATATTGTCTGATAAGATTGCTATAGATCCGTAAGGTTAAAGGACATAGTACTTTACTCATGAGATTTGTATGAAATATATAGAGATAACAGAATTCAAGCTTATATGTCCTTAAAACAATATAAATTTTGGAGTGTTGCAAACTCGGACATCTAAAACATCAAAAATGGGATTAGGTGTCACGAAGGAGTGAGTATCCAAGGACATGTGCGCCCTGTCATGATTTGGAAATAACGGAAAAATCCGTCAACAGTTTAGCGTGTAAATAATGGTCTAACAATTAGCCGAGAAATAGATCATCATGACATATAAATGATGAAACTGTTTACATCCTTTTAAAGTTTTCATGAGTAAAAGATATTACTCAATTAGTAAAATGATTAAGGAAAATGAATTCGGTCTTCATTCTATTTTTTATTTTGTCTGATATTTATGAAAATCTCTGGTAGACTGAATTATAAAAAGTATTGTCACAAAAGCGATTGGTATAACATACTATACGCTGATCAGGAAATAACGGGGAAATATAATACATTTTCCTGCATTGATAAATGTTCTAATAAGCCTCTGATAGTACATCCACTGTAAATTAACTCAATAATATTTTGTGTGTTAAATGTCTATTTTTATTTAGACCCACAATTATTGGCTACCGTGAATAGCAATCATCCAATGACACTGAGGGGATTGCCCAAACTGAAATGGAATGTTGTTGGATATTAGTAAACAAATACCTCATTTATCTAATATACAGTTTGATGGTAATGTTTACCACATGAATCGTGGATTTAAATTTTTTTTTTAAAATTCAAACTACTAACTCTTTTTCACATATGAAACTAAACCTTCCATCACAAGGATAATCAACCCAGTGACCAGAATTAGCCATGTAAGCACAGTCTTCATGTTGCCCCGCATCATTAGGTTCTCCAGGATGCCAGTCAGTGTAGACGGGTGTTGTTTGTGACGTGTGCCAGACCCAGTGTCCCTCCACCAAGACATCAGTCAGACCTATCCAGAAGTTTGCTGTCATTTAAAGAAAAACAAAAACTGTGCGTTATTTGTATGTTTTTTTTGTAATGTTTAGAAAATGACAAGATAGGATAAGACCCCTATTTGGCCCCTTAATTTGGGTGTCTTTCAGAATGATGCAACTGTTTATCCATAAAAACCTGTTGTCATCCCTGCCACCAATGAGTATTGGTGTTAAATTAAGAAATAAATAGAGGGAGGTCGCAGAAAGGTCAGAGAATAAGTCCAATTTTTGAAATTTCCAATTTTTATGTAAATTTTCATAGATTTTACAGCACATTTTGTTTTGGAAAACAGAGCACATGCTTGCCTATCTACCAAGTTTTATATATTTTATAAACTAGTATCAGATGCAGTTTGTGTGTTAAAATCTCAGATAGGCAAGCTGGTGCTCTATGTTGTCCGAAGAGAAAAGTATCTCAAATATGATTAAATTCTACCATAATTGAGGAAATTCGATAAAATGCCCTACTTCTGCCCCTTCTTGTGGCTTCTATGTAAGCTTTGAATCCAAATTAGTGCTAGTTTTAAAGCAAGCATCATTATAAGTTCTTAACTACAAACTATCACAATTTAGCAATTGTTCTGGTTTTACATTTATTTAAATAAGGAGCCAAATTTGGCAGTTACCCTACCTTGTCCTTTCATTGATATCTAGATGCCACTACTTGCCGTTTGGAGATGCCTGAACACAGATTTGAACTTATTATTATCTCAAACTTTTGGTATAATATCACGACTAATATATTGCTTTGGCATTTCGCACGGAAATATACATGTTTTAAAAATTGTTTTACCTGGAAATTATTTAAACTATCAATTTCAGGTTTGACACATCCTTGCACTTCACAAAGAAAAATTTAATTCTTGATGTTGAAGAAAAGTAAGAATTTTGTTGCATATTAATGAAAAAAATATGAAAAAAAATAATCAAGAAAATTTCGAGTAGAAATGTGAGACAGAAAAACCAACTCACCAGTATTGTCAGTCCATGCTCAGTTATGTGTGCACAATTTATCAAATTCAATACACCTGGTTAAAGGTTGACATTAACAACAAAATATAGCTCTTGCCCAGTTTACAAACTAGTTTACGTTTACGTGTGTGTTTAATTAGTTAAATTCTTTACACATCAATGAGCACGGACTGACAATACCGCTGGGAATTTTCTGGATTATACAGTTTTAATATTTACAAAAATACATGTTTTCTTTTCTTAAGTATAACAGTAAATGTTAACTTTGTGAAAGTGTTGCAAGGATGTGTTGTGCAAGGATGTATAAATCAAACACGTCCCGAATTTCCTAGATTTAATAATTTCCAGATAAAATAATTTTTTTCATTATATTTCCGTGTGAAATGTTCTAGCAACATATAACTCTTGATATTTAAAAGAAAATGTGAGAAAATATTAACTTCAGATATGTGTCCTGGCACCTTTAAGGACTGCAAATTACTCTGCACATTCCCCATCGGTGGTGAGTGGTGACGAAAGTATGGGTTAATGAAAAATGATGGCAAAATGTATAGTATGTCAGTCAAACTTTTCAAAATGGGATCATTTTCATTTGTTTTATGTAATTGTGTATTGTATGGCATGTCAAACGCTACAATATAGGATCTTTATACAGTGTACCCAAACTTGAATAGTGGGAAGGGGTATGAAGTGATTGGTATGTCCGTCCGTCTGTTCATCCTTCTGATCATCTGTCTGTCCTTCTGTTACGCTTTGTGGTACCAATCTCCTATCCGCAACTCCTCTTTAAAATTATCAGTGAATGAAATTTAATGCGACTTTCATAGAATTCTTGTTACATAGTGTCATTGTGTACCTCCTACGTTTATGCCAATGAATCTTATGATTTTTATAAATACATTAATGGAGATATTGTTCTTTATCTCTACAATTGTAAATCTTTTTGATACTGTGGTAAATAAGGATACAAATAAAGTTTTTAAAACACAATATAAAAATACTTTTAAATCCATGGTCCTGTTCGTAAATACGAAGAAATTCATCTTCCACTTCTGTCTCTATTTCCACCAATTTGGCATGAAGTGTGTTGCAGTACAACTGAAAATTGATTTGAATAAAACTGATGCAATTTACAGGTATAAAGTAAGGAACAAAAATTTCAAAAATTTCAAACAAGAAATCCTCTCGGTCCAGACAAATTTTTCACTCTAGATAAGCGGTAAACAAAATACCCTTGCACAAAATTTTTTTTAAATAAGCCATTGTAAATGACAAAAGAAACATAATACATTTGTATAAAATTAAAAGTACAAAGTTTTTCCTATAGCATGTGAGAGCTATTTACCTCTATGACCAGTGTGGAATTAATTATTTAAAATACTTATAGTCAGTTAGTTTAGTGCCATTCATACAAGTGTCAAACATCTTAAACATTCATGCAAGACAGTGAAATAGGTATTGAAAGCTGCCTAACCACCCCTTTTTAATTTCAAATTCAATTAAACTATTATTGTATTTTATTTTCAAATGCAAGAGTGCAAGTTTCTTAATTTGATCATTATGGTTACATGCAACGACACAAGTTCATTCAATTTTTAAAAACAGAATTGGCGCAAAATGTAACATTCCCCAAACGCGCCCGACTATGATCCACCATCAGATTGTTCAAGTGTTGATTTAAGGAGGCTAGGTGGTCAACAAATAGTTTCTTTTTTATCAACCACCAGATATAACTTAAGTTTTGGGATATGATATCTTAAGCTGTCAAGTATCATTTGGCAAAGAAAAATATCATAAATTTTTATTTTAAAATTTGATCATTTTATTACATCTTTAAATGTAGCTCTTCTTCTAAAGGAGATCAAAATATTCTAAAAATGGCCACGACCACCCAGCCTCTTTAAATACTTACATAAACGAAACTCAGAGAAGGCTCGGTACGACTTTTCCGGATTTAGGGTATCCATGGCATTTAAAAATATTCAATTGTTTCAAATCCATGCTGATTTAGGTGACGGTTAACGTGCTTTTTAATTAAGGAATGTTTTTAAGTTTTTTGTGAGTTATTGGTGTGTGAATCACACAGACTTGTCACGTAGGCATATTTCATAAAACGCGCTAGCGCTTCATGAAAAATATGCATACGTGCAAGTCTGTGTGATTCTCACACCAATAACTCACACAAAACTTAAAAACATTCCTTATATTTACATTTTACATGTTTGGAAGCACCGAAAATATACTCAATATTTGAATTTCTCGTTGTCCTATATTGTAATACTTTTACTAACGTCGCTGTAGCCCTATTGTGACGTCACGGTAACACACGTTTCTCCGTGTATATTTCTACGCGTTAGTATACACGAAAATGATTTTCAAATCATTTAATTTCTATAAAAGACTTGATTCTGATTGGATAAAAAATTCTTTTGATAACTGCATCAATAAAATCTAGAGTTCGGTTGCACTAAGCAGCCGGAACTACTTTGACAGTCGGTACATGTATATTCCCCGCTTCCAGGTTACTTTTTGAAGGAATAATCAAATACCTTTGCTTTAATAAATATTTTCCTGAATTTCGGAACCTGTCCGTTAGGTTCCTGGCTTATTTTCTACTTTCGTTTCATTTTGAATTATCCCCCTTTGCTAAACAAATTAAATTCGTCTGCATGACTACAATACAGTTACGGGAAAGAAGGGAAGAAATCGTATAATCGGCATACTTTTCTTAAATGTTTGACTTTGAGATATCTGGTATGAAACAATAGAACTCTGAAAAAAAGTTTTATTATGCTACCAAAGCGGGGAAAACCGAAAATCTGTTAAATCGTGGGAAACGAGTGATCGAGAAAAATGACACTGCATGAATTGAGGATGGAATTCTTTAATCTTGAACTATCGGCAGCAGACTCTTTCAGGTTTTACAGCATTGGCAGGTTGTGATATGTATATAATTATATTCGGTTTGAAATTCAAATGAAAAGATGCGCAAATGAAATCCAAAATTTCTGTGACCTAGAACTATTAGGATATTTTAGTAGCTTCCCTTTACATTTACGAACTTAGATAACTTACCGGGGAAAATATACACAGAGGGATAACACAACAGGTAAGTTTTTTGTGTTAAAGAACTGTAAATTATTTTGGAGACTGTTGGTAATCACACGACAATATTTGAGAACGTTTTTCGTTAGCATGGTTAGAGCCATTTTGAATTTTCAGCAACGTTAACGTTATGGTGATGTATTCGTGCGCACTGTTTTTGATGCATAAATTTAATAGAAAAGTGAAAGAAACTTTAATTTTATTAATTTAAAATCTTAATTAAATGATAAGAAATGAATGTAATAACTTTTTCATCAATGCGCTACGCGCATTGATGAAGTTTTCCGTCCAAATTTTTCTTTGATACATCGATCAAAGAAAAAATTATTACATTCATTTCTTAAATCAATTTCACAGTTGGCTTAGTAGAAAAACACAGCGAATGTAAATATTTATGAATATCCACTAGTATCTAACTATTACTAAAAGAGAACGATTTGGTAATATATTCTAAAGTTATATGGTACATAAAATGGCCCATAAAATATTGCTTAAGTGCACTTGTCCTTTCATCAAATTATCACTAATGATATTTTATTGACTTTAAGACACATATCAAAATTGAACATCATTTTGAGCGTAGTTTACACCGTTTTAAAGAAACCTTTGACATTAAAAAGTTTAGTATTCAATGGTCACCCTATATTTTGAAAAATGAGCGAAAAAAAGCGTGTAAGAACATTTAAACACTTATTTTTTTAAAAAAAAAAAAATCAAAAATTGGACTTATCCACGTATCATTGTCTGAAATATAGAAAGATAATTGAAATTTGAATCCATTGCTTCAAACCCTTAAAACAAATTTTCAATAAGATGCACTTGCATTGGCAAACTCAGCCAAGGTCTGAGAAGAGCAAAGAATTCAAAGCACAAAAACAGTTTAATATGACATTTTCCTAAAAATTGGTGGTCTTGTTGTTTAAATTCTTAGGCAGTTCGATTTTTGGAGAAGTCTAGAAGGCTACTTGTTTTTAAAAAATCGAAAGGTTTATGAGAAGATGGAACTAGAATCAGGAATCCACTACATTAAATTTCTTCATAACAGCGTCAAAACCCACAAGCCATGAAAAGTAAAGGAGTGTTAGGGATAAAGAAAAAGTTAATGTTATGTCACGACAACAATATCCGCCAGATCTTGTTTCATTTTCCAAACTTGAAAAAAAAACACCTTTCAGAAAGGAGAGACAGGTCCAGGAACTCATAGGATCTGCCGTATTCCAGTAAACGATGGGCCATACTAAAACTGTGTTCTAAAACAATCAGAAATTGGATAAAAATGTTATATACGTATTTTAATTAAAAGAAAATATTTAAGTGAAATCATTAAGACTAAATAATGAAAAGCGTTTTTGTTTCTTTCCGAGCACCAGGGACGTTATTTATTGAACAGCCCTGCTACTGATTGGTTCCTCGACTGTTTTTAAAGGAAGAAAGGGAAAATCTTATATGCGCAACAATGAATTCCTAAATTTGAGGTATCCCTTCTTTTGTAGCAAAGAGGTCGGTTTTAGACACTTTGATGTACCATAAGGCGATACAACACATATATTAGATGCCGTAAAGCGATACAACACATATATTATGAAATCTCATTTTTATATATGCATTTATCTATTTGAAATTGGTCATGTTTCTTGATGAAGAGTGTACCTAAGTGTTTGAACACATAAGAACGCAGTGATTATTATTTTTCTATATCGGCAAATTGTCCACGATTTTACCGGACAATCATTATTATTAGACCCTGATTTTTTTAGCACTCGAAAACCACTTTCTCTGTTGAAATTTATTATATAAAATGCAAAATTTCCCTTCGATAGTATCTTACCATTGCTTCTGTCCAGCTAAGATGTAAGTCTGTAAAAAACGCGTAACATGATGTCCCCCGTTGTTTCCATCCATATGGACATTGATGGGGCTGAGCTTTGGTCGTCAACAAGTGTACTATAAATAGAACTTTAAAAAAATGTGTATCACTTATTTTACAATACAGATAAGT